ACCAAGAGCCTAGCCGAAACAAGGGATAACCTTTTCCTAAAATAAGACTGGGGTTCTCCTGACCTTTCCTTCTTCTGGAGGGCTCTCTCCGGCAGTTTTTTAGTGTGTGCCGCTTGAGCGCTGGAAAGAATTTATAATCGGGAGCCTTGTCAAAGACGTCCATTGTTCTCCCCGCTCTGAACATGTGTGGCAGCCACAAGTGCTTTCAGATCTCCTCCAGCCAGGAGCTGGCAACAAGCAAAGAGCAAGACTGAATTCTTCAGAGACATCGGGGGAAAGAGTCTGCTTTCCTTTTTCCTTTTTTTCTTTCTTTTCTTTTTTTTAAAAAACAACAACGGCTGATTGCTTTTTTAGGAAGAAAGACATCCCCTTTTTTTCCAGAACTGCAGACCGAAACTGGTTGCCAGTTCCGTTTAATTTCGACCCACAACAAGCTGTAAAATTAGTTTGGGTTTGTTTGTTTTTTCTGCTGGAGTTTCCAGATCAATAAACCTGATTTCGAAGGAATCTCTCTTCAGTGAAGGTTTTTTTCTTTTCTTTTGCCTGCTAACTTAAAATCTCAGGATGCCTCACCTCGTACGCTATGGAGCTCAGCCCCTGTGAAGCCCCGTTGTGGAGAATGGACTAGCCATGTTTCAGGTTGTTTTTATTTATTTTGTTATTTTACCTCCTTGGTGTGTGTGGGTGTGTTAGGAAATGTGCATTTAGTCAAAACGAGTTTTGGGGTTGTTGTTTTTTTTGCAACGGTTCCCGCTGGGATTGATACGTGTTGTTTTTTGGAAAAACCTTGGAAGATTCCCCAGCTGAATGAGGGGGTGGAATGATGAAGGCAATTACTATTACTTGAATCAGATGTGTAAAAGCGGTCTCGCTGAATTCTGATTTATTTTAGGCTACCTGCAGTAAATGTAAACTTCTGTTTCTGTTCTGGTGCAAGGAAGGGGTGTGTGTGTGTCTGTGTGCGCGCGCGCATGCAAATATTGTTTTGCTGTTCCCGGCAGACTTGAATCGAGTTTTTTGGGGGGAAAGTTTATTTTAATGGGGACAGCGAAGCCCAAAAGATTGGGGGTTGATCTATTTTGTCGAAATATTTAAAAAGTAATGCCCCCCTCCCCTACACACACACACACGGATCCTTACTCTGGATTATGTTACCGGCTTATCATCCGAGATCTTTTGTGCTGGACGCAACGGTAGAAACAAACAGGCTTTTAAAAGAAAAGAAAAGACGGGGAAGTCGAATTACAGTTTTCCCACAGGGTCTTGTGTGCAAATGGCCTTTTATTTCCTGCTGGCTTGCGATTCAACAAGTTGTAGATGCCTAAAGCTACGGCAACTCTTTGTGGCCAGAAAAGCGGTTATAAGAATAACAGAAACAGGAAGGACCTTTTGAGGTCTTCTAGTCCAACCCTCCTGCTGAGGCAGGAAATCACACCTTTTCCTCGTCGCGTGCCTCCACCCATAATGCAATGCACATGCGACCCCCCCCCCCCGCTGCGCGCCACACGCCTCTGTGCATGCACACTCCTCTGTGCATGCGTGCGCTTCGTGCATGCGCACATGAACACCCCGTGCACCCCACACTCCCTATGCAGGCATGCACATCTCCCACGTGCACGTTTCCCCTTGCACATGTGCGACAGATAGATGACAAATCAGCTGGTTGGCGGGGGCGCATGCACAGTGGGGCTATTCCAGGTGACTTCTCGTGGGCCATAGGTTCGCCAACATAGCCCTAGACCACTGATGGCTAACCTTTTCCTCGTTGCTTGCCTCCACCCATAATGCAATTCACCTGTGACCCCACCCCCACCCCCTGCGCAAGCACGCGTGACTCCCCGCTGCACGCTGCAAGCCTATGCGCATGCACAAGTGACCACCCCTGTGCGCTGCACACCTCTGCGCGTGCACACATGACCATCCCGCACCCCCCCACACACACACCCTATGCATGCGTGCGCATCTCCCCTTGTGGCAGATAGCCGACAATCTACTGGTTGGTGGGGGGGGCACGTGCACGTGTGCAGTGGGGCTGTTCTGGGCGACCTCTCGCGGGCTGGCAGAAATGGCTCTGCGTGCCACTTCCGGCACGTGCGCCACAGGTTCGCCATCACGGCCCTAGACCATTTCAGGCAAAACGGTTGTCCCATCTGTTCTTCAAGGAAGAAAATCGATTTCTTCTGAGGTCACACCGTAGCATCCGATCCACATGGGTGAACGCTGGGGAAGAGCTATTCAGGTAGTCCTCGACTTACAACGATTCATTTAGTGACCGTTCGAAGTTGCAGCAGCACTGGGGGAAGAAAAAGCGACTTAGGATCGCTTTTCACACTTAATGACCGTTGCAGAATCAACAGCCATAAGCAGCGTGATCAAAATTCAGGTACTTGGCGACGGACTCGTATTGACGACGGTTGCATTGCGTGAACAATTGTGTTCCTAGCTTAACAACTGTGAAGTGATTCACTTCACAACGGTGGCAAGAACAGCCGTACAATGGGGCGAGAAACTCGCTTCACAACTGTCTCGCTTAGCAACGGGAATTTGGGGCTCCACTGTGATCGTAAGGTGAAGTTCTTTGTCTTGTATTTTCAGCCATGCTGCCAGGTGTGCGCAGACTAGAGGCAGTCCTTGACTTACAACCCCAAATTTCCGTTGTTAAATGAGTTTTCCCCCATTTTACGACCCTTTCCTGCCACCGTTGTTAAGTGGACCCAGATTCTACTGTGGAGTTGGCTTGTCAGAAGGTCTCAAAAGGGGATCACGTGACGCCCCGGAGACGCTGAAACTGTCCTAAGTACAAGTCCGTTGCCAAGCATCTGAATTTCGAGCGCGTGGCAGTGGGGATGCTGCCGTGTTCATCAGTGTGAAAAATGGTCCTAAGTCTTTTTTTCCCCAATGCCGTAACTTTGTACGGTCACTAAGTGAACCATTGTCAATTGAGGGTTACCTGTATTTCTTTTTTTACAAGTTTAATGCGCATGGAGTGGACTTTTTATTTCTTTCCAGCTGTCCTCCTTCGCAGGCCTATTTAAATCCAGGGGTGGGATTCTACTGGTTCAGACCAGTTCTTTTTTTTTTTTTTTAATGAATTTTATTAATTTTCAATAAACAAACATACACAAACAAAACACAAAACATAAAAACATAAAACTTCTTTTTGGAAAGCGGCCTAATCCTGGGTTACATCTTTTGGTACAGACATAAATCAAGTTCATGCTCACTTTATATACCATTTCATATCTTATTTACCATTCTATATTTTCTATATGGCTTCTCCCCTCTTTTCACTCTCTTAATTCTATTTTATTTATTTCATCTCAATTTAGATCATTATACTAATATCTTTTGTCCGTTCTGTAATCATCTATTTTTCTTTTCTTATTAACGCAATATTTCTCCTGTAATCAGTAATTGAAGTGTGACGCCTTTATATCTTTCCCCGAAATTTAACACTTAAGACCAGTTCTATAGAACCAGTTGTTACAATGCTGCGCAGTTTGGAGAACTGGCAAATCGTGCCCCTCCGCCTGCCCCACCCTTCCCAGTCAGTCCTTATCACGCATGCCTGACGTGACGTGTCTTCCCGACGTCACTGACTGCATTCTTCCCCTGCCCAGTTACTCCTTAAGGTTTTTTTTTTCTCTCCTCTCCTGATGATCAGCTGTTTCCGACGATCAGCTGTGCTGGAATCCCCCTCGCTGTATTACTGCTTCACTCAGGAGGCTTCCCTGAGGCCCGGAGGGTGGGGGGCGCTGCAGGCCCCTCCACGCTCTGTTTTTTGCCTTCCTGGGCCTCAGGGAAGCCTTCTGGGAGCAAAATTGCCCCCCGGGAAGCTTCCCTGAGGCCCAGGAGGCCCAAAAATAGAGCATGGATGAGTACTATGCGGGGCCTCTGCACTCCGTTTTTTTACATTTCTAGGCCTCAGGGAAGCCTTTTGGGAGTAAAAACAGCCCCCCGGGAGGCTTCCCTGAGGCCCAGGAAGATCAAAAACGGAGCACGGGGTGTGTGCACTGCAAAAAAAGCCACGCCCACCCAGTCACATGGCCCTGCCCACCTGGCCCCGCCCACCTATTCACGCCACAGAACCGGTTGTTCAAAAATTTGAATCCCACCCCTGATTAAATCCCCACAGATCGTCCATCTCTTCATTCCATCAATACAAAGGTCCAGGCCACCGTGGTGGTGGTGGGGGGGGGGGAATGGATAGGTTAAAAAAAAAAATAACAGATTTGGTTGAGATGGAATTGTCCACTGTTTAAAAGCAAAGAGTGTTCAATAAAGGAGAATATTTGTGGGAGGAAGTCCTTAGAGCTGTGTCCCACCCCCTAAACCTTGGGGCATGGGGGACTGGTTCCGTGGAGAGAGGTTTCTCCGGGGACCGGAGGAGGCGTGATTTTGTGCGCTGCCTGCGTCCTGCAGATGGGCTTCACTTGTTTATGTGGGCCAATTTCTAGCATGCCGTGACCCAGTGCCGGACCATGGACTGGGAGGGGGCGAGGGAGGGAGGACTTCAACAAATTTAGCAACTGGTTCTCTGCCCGGTTGCTGGGTGGGCGTGGCCATGATGGCATGGCCTAGTCGGCCTCCTGTACCATGGTGGGGAGGGCATTGTTGCCCTCCTTGGACTCTGGAGGCTTTCCTCGAGCCTCTGGGAGGGTGGAAATAGCCTCTCCGGGTTCCAGGGGCTGGAAACGGGCCTTTTTTCTGGCCTTCTGTAGCCTCCAGAAGGCATATTTTTCACCCTCCCTGAGTCTCTTTGCAGGCTGGGATCCAAAACAGGCCGCGTGGAGACTCCTGGGAGGGGAGGGGAGGGGTGAGGTGGGCGGGGCCAGCCAGTTGTTAAAACCACTGGTTCAGCAAACCAGATATAAAATTAACACCCGGTTCATGTGAACCGGTGCGAACCGATAGCAGCCCACCCCTACGGGGGGCGGGGGGGTTGGGCACCCTTGCCTTAGCGGATGTGCCTTTCTAACCAGGCTTCTGTTCCTCACCAGGACACGGAAGACATTGAGAGCCCGAAGCGCAGCATCCGCGACAGCGGCTATGTAGATTGCTGGGATTCAGAGCGCAGCGATTCTCTCTCCCCTCCGCGTCATGGCAGAGATGATTCCTTCGACAGTCTGGATTCCTTCGGGTCCCGTTCCCAGCAGACCCCTTCTCCAGATGTGGTGCTGAGAGGGAGTAGTGATGGTGAGTTGTGCCACCCCTCCCTACCTCCACCCCCAGGGAACCAGGCTCCCTTTCTGGGTGACCGGACAGGACATACAACCCCGTCATGCTTAAAATACCACAGTTTCCACAGTTAGCTTCCGTGGGATGTTCTCCTGGTAACTCGTCAAGAGTTTGATCCTCAGAAAGATGGATACTGTTGTGGCCTGTCGGCCACTGGCCCCTCCAGTAGCCGACTCAGAGGAGGAGGGAGTGGGAGTTAGGGACAGCATCAAGACAACCTGAGAGCTCTGAGGGGGAAGAGGGAATGGAGCTGGCAGAGAGAGAGAGAGAGAGAAGGAGGAGGAGGAGGAGGAGAAGCCTGGGCCGTCCATCGGCTGTCCTATGGAGAATCAACAGCCCCCTGGAGGTGGCTGATGAGGAAAAGGAGGAACAGCTGGGTTCAGTGCCTGACCTGAAGATGCACAGAAGGCAGAGGAGAGGAGAGCAGTGGAAATCTAAGGGCCAGACCTTGGGACAGAAAAGCCAACGCTGCCGGCGAAGCCCCACCCTAGCTCTGGGGATAAAAGGCAGGGGACAGAGACAAATAGCTGTGGCAGACAATGATTCATCTCCCTGCCGGACAGACTTGTTAGCCTGTGAGAGAAACTTTTTGTTGGAGCTGCTGGAGCTCCTAATAAAAGGGAACATTTGTTTAATTACTGTGGGTTTGTCGTATTTGGGAGCCGGGTCAGGACAGATACAGGCAGTTCTTGGCTTATGGCCGCAGTGAAGTGCTAAAATTTCTGTCGTTGAGACATTTGTGAAGTGAACTTTGCCCCAGTTCTTAAGTGAATCACTGCAGTCACTAAATGAGTGGTTCAGTTGTTAAGTGAATCTGGCTTCCTCATTGACTTGGCTTGTCAGAAGGTTGAATATAGCAATAACAATAGCACTTATATGTCGCTTCACAGTGTTTTCTGGTCCTCCCTAAGCGGTGAAAAAGGAGGTCACATGATCCCAGGACATTGCAGCCGTCATAGATGAACCAGTGGCCAAATGGCCAAATTTTGATCACGTGACCATGGGGATGCTCCAACGGTTGTACAGTTAAATGTGAAAAATGATCATAAGTCACCTTTTTCCAGGGCCGTGGTAACTTTGAACGGTCACTAAATGGAACTGTTGTAAAATGCAGCAACATTGTGATGACCCAGGGTGTAGCACAAAAGCAACAAAGTCACAAAGGTAGGTAAAGCCCCTTTAATACCTCCAACTTGGCCCTCAATGTCCAGTTATCATCGGCTGGAGAAAAAAATTATCTTAAGGACAGTTTTTAAAGGGAAGAAATGCAGTCTTATAGATTACAAATAAAAACCAACACAAACCACCCTGCAGCAATTAACCAGACAGGGCAGGATAAGGAATTGCAGACTTCAAAAGATAACAAAACACACACAGTTGGGAGGATGCCAGAAGCCAGATAAGACTTGACAAAGATAATTCACGCTTTGCTTTCAGCAAGGTGCTGTATGCAAATACCCTCTTTATCCTGTTTTCCAGCTGCAGCCAATGAAGGGAATCAGGGCCCTTTTCTCCGCCATAATCCCTGTAACTCATCTTGCTCCCTTCTGCATTCCTCCCTGCGTGCCCTTGGATGAAGAGGAGGTGGCCCTGGGTCTTCCTCTGAATGCCCAGTTGGACTTTTCCCTTCCCCAGTTTCTTCCACAGCCACTGGAGCCACACTCCCACTCCCTGTCAGCTGCTCGACCTCCCCCTCGGAATCAGATTCCAACAGGGGCATGATACATTCACTTCACCAAAGTCTCAACTTCCACAAAAGTAAGATCTATCCTGAAAATAAATCCTAGCCTGATTTTTTTTAACCATATGCATAATATAAGCCCTACCCCCAAAATAAGCCTTAGTAAAGATGGCCATCCGACCGCGGAGGTGGGGGAGGAGGGGAGATGGCTAGCACAGGAGGCAGAAAGCACATGGGAACTGATAAAGAGAACCAGCTCAGCGGTAGCAGTGCTCCCGTCAGCCCCCACACTCACCACCTCCTGTATGCTGGGTGAAAAAAGACATCCCCCCAAAAATATAAGACCGGGTCTTATTTTTCGAGAAACACGGCAACAACAGAAATGTTGAGCTCAATTGTGGTCGCAACTTGAGGAGTACCTGTAGTTTGGGAATAATCTGCTTGCAGGGCTGCTATTTCCCCACCCCCTCCCTGCTGTGGGCTGTGGGACGGAACAGTTGCTGCACCAGGTCTCAAATTTATGAGACGGGATTTCCTCCATCGGAAGAGTAAGGGAACAGCAGGCTGTCATTTATTTAACAAATAACACGAGATCAAAAGTTAAAGAGAACCAGACTTCTGGCATGTAAACAATCCACCTTGGTGTACCAGTGGAAAGGAGTTTGATTTGGTCGGTTGGTTTTGGCCTGTGGATCCAAAAATGGTTAGCAAAAATACTTTCTAATGGAGTGCTGCTAACAAAAGTACTAGGGTAGGGTTAATAATACTCTAAAAATTGCAATCAAAAATGTTTTCTAATGGGCATAGCTAACAAAAGTACTAGAGTAGTTTTCATAGTAACCTAAAGATTATTAGCAAAAATTCTTTTTTTAAAAATAATTTTGTTCGTAAACGTTTTGAATACAGTGTATTGTCAAGGTGTGCCAATTACAAGCAAAAAAACCCTCATAAAGTATACCACATTAAATATTAACACACATAAAGATAACAATGCTAATAATAACACATCATAATAATATCACCATGTATTTTTAACTAAGATTCTTTTTATATTATCTTATTTGCATTTTTTAAAGAAATTATAGTGATTATAATTATAAACCCTCTATTTTTGATGGATACATCCATTGTCTTTCTTCCTCTAATTTCTACCTCTTGTCTCTAACCATGTGTAAAATCTATTCCATATCAAATAGTATTCTGCGTTCTAGTGGGGACTGCTAACAAAAGTACTAGGGTAGGTTTAATAATAATCTTAAAATAGTTAGCAAAATGTTTTCTGATGAAAACTGCTAACAAAATTAGAGTAGCTATGTTGTAATATATCCCTATGCCTTATTTTGCTCGATTTTGCTCACTTTTGCTTTCTTTTAATATTTAACGTTTTGTCTGGACCGTAAGAAAGATTGAGTTGAATAAAGTAGCTATAATTTGAATGCAAACATTGTTAGCAAAAACATTTTTCTAATGGATACTGCTAACACAAGTAGAGTAGCTGCAAAATAGTAGAGATATTTTCTTTAAGGGAGGTTGTTTTTTTTTAATCTTGCTCTTCGGTCCTCTGAGCAAAGTAGTTGAAAGATTGTCAAGAAGGAAAGTACTGTAATGTTTATCTTACTTTCCCCAAATAATGCAATGAAAGTGCAGCATTTAAGGCAACGATCGAACATAGAATTATGCATGCTGTATATCTCACTGATTTTAAGCCGTTTGTCGCAAGGTTTCATTGCAAGAAGGTGCAGTTGTTATCGAAGTTTATCCTTATAATATTGATAGTCCAAAGTCTTTACCAAACTTCGGAGTTGCATGAGAATTTTTGTAGCCCAAATTTAATGTTGCATTAAAAAAAAAAAAAAAGACATCTCCCAAAAATGTATGGTGCTTATTTTGGAGCCCCCAAAAATATAAGACTGGGTCTTATTTTCGGAGAAACATGGTATATATAGGGCCCTTTCTTTACTCTTTCTTTGTTTGATATTGCTTGGAGAAGAAAGAATTAAACGCATTAGATGATTGCTTAAAATATTTATGTCTTCTTAAATAACTTCTGAATTTTTTTTGTCTTTTGGGCTCCTCTGAAATAGTTTTCTGGTTCTTAGCTTTTGCTGTAAGGATGAAATCTCCTTTCTCCCAATTTCCAGCCTGCTTCTTTTAGATAGACTATGGTGTTGTGTCACATAACATTTCTTTGCCAGAAAGGCTTTCAGAATGCAGAAATCCGCTCCTTTCTTTGCCCCATTTCCCTCAAAGGTCTTTCCCCCCCCAATTTGCATTTCCAGTGTCCCTTTTCAGCTTCAACTCTGGGTGTTTAATTAGCTACCTAGAAACAAAAAAAAAAAAAGGGCGGGGGGAAGGTTGGTCCACTTGGCATACAACACTCTTGCTGTTGGAAGGAGAATCTTGGCAAGAGAAATTTGGCTGAATTCCTTTGGTTAAGTCTCTAACAATATTAATATATTATTGAATGATTCCATTCTTTCTTTCTCCACTGAATTATCATTGGTGAATCACAAGTTCTGCATAGTGGAGATTGCATTCCTTGCTTTATCCACAGAATAAGGCAGTTAATTAAGAGTAGGATGGGATGGGACATAACAGAACAGAATAGAATATTGGAATGAAGAATAGAACAGAACTGCACAGTACAGAATGGAATAGACTATTAGTATGAAGGTAGAGTAGAGTGGAGTGGAGTGGAATGGAACGGAACGGAACGGAACATTCTTTATTGGTCAACTGTGATAGGACCTAGAAAGAATTTGTCTCCAGTGCATAAGCTCTCAGTATACTTACAAACAACAAAGTGATAAACCATATATCATAAATAATAAGATACAATCATAAACCAAAAAATAGAATAAGGCAGTTAATAATCTAAGAATGGAACAGAACAGAACAGAATATTCTTTATTGGCCAAATGTGATTGGATACACAAGGAGTTTGTCTGCAGTGCAGAAGCTCTCAGTGTCCATACAAACAACAAAGTGATAAGTCATAGATCATAAAAATCATTAGATACAATCATAAATCATAATATATAAACAACAAACTGGGACATGGTGGCTCAGCGGCTAAGACGCTGAGCTTGTCGATCAGAAAGATCGGCAATTCGGCGGTTTGAATCCCCAGCACCACGTAACGGAGTGAGCTCCCGTTCCTTCTCCCAACTTCTGCCAACCTAGCAGTTTGAAAACACGTAAAAAATGCAAGTAGAAAAATGGGGACCCCTTTGGTGGGAAGGTAACAGTGTTCTGTGCACCTTCGGCATTTAGTCATGCCAGCCACATGACCACAGAGACGTCTTCGCTGGCTCTTCGGCTTTGTAACAGATATGAGCAACGCCCCCTAGAGCTGGAAACCATTAGCACATTTTGTGCAAGGGGAACCTTTACCTTTTACCTTATAAACAAACAAGTGATGAAATCATAAGATACCAACAGGAGAAGGTAAGTAGGAAAGATGAGAAGGATAACAGCAATGCAGCCTTACTTCATGTCTTAAGTCTGCAAACTGTCCATTTTTAAGACAGGAAAGAGAAGAATGACTCCATTGTGGCCAAATCAATGGAATCTATTTTGATCGTGGAGCACATAATTCACTTCCATTTGGAAACTTTGCTTATGGTTATTGTTGTTTTTTTTAAAACAGGAAGAGGAAGCGATTCGGAGTCTGACCTTCCACATCGAAAGCTGCCAGACGTGAAGAAGGATGATATGTCGGCCAGGCGGACCTCTTACAGCGAACCCAAATCAGTCGTGCCTTTTAACCAATACCTTCCCAATAAAAATAACCAGACTGCCTATATCCCGGCTCCACTCAGGAAGAAGAAAGCCGAACGGGATGACTTCCGGAAGAGTTGGAGCACGATGTCATCTCCACTAGGAGGAGAGAAACCTTTCAGGTAAGGTCTCCTTGACCAAACTTCAGATGACCAAGTCATGTCATCCAAGGACATGTCACCAACGGAAGAGAATTATTTGTAGTTCAGGGTTGAATTGTTGAGTCCTTGGTGAAGGCTAGAGAAAACCCTACTCTCTTCGAGTGCTGATGTTGTAGCCTAGCTGGGTAACGAAACATCTGCGAGAAACCAACCAAGTTCAGAGAGCACCAAGGAATCCCTAGTCCTCCTCCTCCTCCTCCCCCACTTCCCTTCCCTTCCCTTTCTCAATAAATTGCGTGCCGGGGGGTGTTGCACATTGGTGGTTGTTGTGACACATATTTTGAGTGACAGGGAGCCACAGCAGAAGGATGAAAGAGCCACATGCTGCTCCAGAGCCGCGGGTTGCTTACCCCGATATAGTCTCCTGCTCAAGCAGTGGGGGTTGGACTAGAAGACCTCCGAGGTCCCTTCCAACTCTGTTGTTCTACGTTCTAAGGAATCAGACCTGTGCTATGTAATAATCGGGGCTGTGACAATTCCCCAACTCGCCATGGCCAACTCACTGCAGGAACGACTCTCCACGGGACGAAAATTACACTAATATCAAAGAGATGGCGGGACAGAAACATGAAAGAAAAGGACGCAAAAGGAGGGACCGAATGAAATGCCAATAGCAAAAATTAACATGATTTGTATTTATTTTAAATAACGAAATAGAATTGTTAAATGGCCCCATGGAGGGATTGTTCCCCGGGGAGTTGGCCATGGTCAGTTGGCCGCAGTGAGTCGGCTCTGACGAGCTCTCCCATTCCCTAATAATCTATATATAACTCGATAGCAAACAGCATCCTGAAACCATAGAAGAGGAACCCCTGGTGACACTCAATGGGGACCCAGTGAGCAGCAAGATGGCCTCTGCCTCCCCCTCCGTGAAGCCTGTGCGGACAGACGTGGGTCCAAAGAACGCTTGGCCTCAGTTTCCCGCCCGTTCTGAAACAGCTGCGCCCCCAAATGAGAAAAAAGGTCCAGAGGAAATCAGGAAGCTGAGAAGGTTGGAACAGGCTGGTATTCAGGTCAGGCCAGCAGCTCACCGCTGTGGCGGCAGGTTAGAGACTTGGCCTGGCATGTGTTTCATTTGTAGCATTTGCTGTGTGTTCCAGACTGGTGCTGTGGCCTAGAGATGGAGCTCTCGCCTCACAATCAAGAGGCTGTGAGTTCGATCCTAGGTAGAAGCAGATATCTCTCTCTCTCTGGGCACGATGAGAATATATTTCTGCCGAAACAAAACTCCGCATTGATGACAGGAAGAGCATCTGGCCAGTAAACACTCTGCTAGCTCCATTCAGTTGCCCGAGCTCCGCCCCTCAAGGGATTACAGGGTCATTAAAAGGAGATGATGATTTGCTGTGTGTTTCAGTTGTTGGTGTTTTTTGTTTTTGTTTTTAACGTGTGGTCATATCCCTTTTTCATAGCAACCCAAATTAGCCAAATAAACGCCTGCAATTTTTGCTTTTTTAATTTTGGTCACGAGAAGCCTTATAAGAAAACTTCGCCTGCAGTGCCTGCATTGGTTGGGAGTGCCGTGATAAGACTAAAATGGTTCGAAACCTCTGGTTGTGCTGGGAGAGACCTTTGCCTGATGCTTGTGCTTGGATTAATCGAGAAACACATTAAGGGATGCTGGCTTCCAAACCAGAATGATTAAAAAAGGAAAATGCAGCTGGGAGCGACATATGTAGCTACTTCTCTGTTATGGCATGAAAATAGCATTCTGTAGTTGACTATAAGAAAAGGACTCCATGCCAGTTGTGACTGGAATATTGATTTATAATTATAATTTATAATTGTAATTTATGATTCATAGGTTTTATTATAATTTACAAACTTTAATGCATTTTTTTATAATTGACCGATTATAAAGTGTGGTCATGGGAGGTTAGGAGTGTGGGTGAACTTATGTCCTTTTTCTTTATCTTGTTTTATCCTAGCGCAGTGGTGGCTAACCTTCTTAGGCTCCTGTGCCAAAAATTGCGCTCTTGTGCCAGTATCCAGAAGACAATGCGCCCGCCCCCTGCACATGTGCGCACGATCCTGCCTGCTTTCCCTTACCTGCACTGCGCATGCACGTGCCTCCCAGCGGATTTTCAGCCCATTTGAGACATTTTTGGCCTCCCAGAGGCTCGAGGGAAGCCTCTGCAGCCTTTGGAGGCTGAAAAATGGGCCCGTTTCATCACTTCTGGTATTTCCAGAAATACAGGAAGTGATGAAGTGGGCCTGTTTTTCAGTCTCCAAAGGCTGCAGAGGCTTCCCTCGAGTCTCTGGGAGGCCGAAAATCAGCTGGGAGGTATGCGCGTGCACAGTGCAGATAAGTTTGCCTGGGGCTCATATGCCCACACAAATGGCTCTTCATACCACCTGTGGCATGGCTAGGTGGGCATGGCTAGGTGGCCATGGACATGTGACTGAGTGGGCGTGGCTTTTTTGCAACACCGCCCCCTTGTGCACTCTGTTTTTGGAGTTTTTGCTCCCAGGAAGCTTCCCTGAGGCCCAGGAAGCTAAAAAAACGGAGCACGGGGGTGATGGTGCTCGCAGCACCCCCACCCCCCTGGGCCTCAGGGAAGCCTCCTGGGCAAAGCAGTAAGATAGCGAGGGGGATCCCAGCACAGCTGATCGTTGGAACAGCTGATCGTCGGGAGGAAAATAATACCTTAGGAAGTGACTGGGCGGGAAAAGAATGCAGTCGATGTTGGGCATGCACGCAATGTTGCGCATGCACAATAACTGACTGGGAGGGGAGGGGTGTGTTGAGAGGGGAGGGGCCAGCCAGGGGCATGATTTGCCGGTTCTCTGAACCGCGCAGAATCGTGATAACCGGTTCTATAGAACCGGTACAAACCAGTAGAATCCCACCCCTGATTATGGAGTCGTTAAAAGAAGATGATTGTGGTGGAAGGTCAAGGACTACCTGTAGGTGACTTTGTCTGGGGCCTGGCCAAGAAGCCATATGGAGTTGGACTTTGGTAAGACTTGTAAAGGAGACCACAAGGCAATTATGGGGTGGGGTGGGGGAATTGAAGGAAGAGGATAGTTGGCAGGAGTCAAACTTGACTGAAGGAGATCTTTGTTCAGATTTAGTTGAGAAACTGACCTCGCTTTCCAGGACACAAACAGTGTAAGTGCCAGGCTCAAATTTGCTGGCCAGGAAAAAGCTGTATGGGGGACTGAGAGCAAATTGTTCTCCAGAAGCTACTCAGGATTAACTCAATAGCTGCTACTCTGACCAGAGTTGCAAAGAAAACGGGTGCGATGGGATGAAGGCTTCCACAATCTTGCATAGATTTTTTTTTTAAACGGTCTCAAGGATTCCGAGGCATCTCCCAAAGATTTGGAAGTTACAGTTAGTCCTCGACTTAATGATGGTTCATTTAGTGACCATTCCAAGATACAACGGCACTGAACGAAGTGATGTACAGCTGTTTTTTCTCAGTTACAACCTTGGGCGGTATCCCCAGGGCCGCGGGATCAAAATCCATACCAGCTTGGCAACGAGGTTAACGCTTACGACCACTGGCAGAGTCCCAAAACCATGTGAAGTCAATGTTTAAGCCAGATTCACTTAACGACCGGCTTACACATTCATCAACTGCAGTTAGGGGTGGGATTCTACCGGTTCGGACCGGTTCTACGGAACCGGTCGTTACGATTCTGCGCGGTTCAGAGAACCGCCAAATCATGCCCCCAGCTGCCCCGCCCCTCTCCCCCCACCCCTCCCCTCCCAGTCAGTCCTTATCACGCATGTGCAACATCGGTGACTGCGTTCTTCCCCGCCCAGTCACTCCTTAAGGTATTTCCTTTTTCCCCCTCTTCCGACGATCAGCTGTTCCGATGATCAGCTGTGCCGGGATTCCCCTTGCTTACTTATTGCTTTGCCCAGGAGGCTTCCCTGACACCCAGGAAGCCCCCCCCCCCCAAAAAATGGGGGGGTTTGCTGCAAAAAAAGAAGCCACGCCCTCCCAGTCACATGGCCATGCCCACCTAGCCATGCCCACAGAACCATTTGTCACAAAATTTGAATCCCACCCCTGACTGCGGTGTTTCACTTAACAGCCGTGGCAAGAAATGGGGCAAAGCCCACTTTAAAGCAACATCTCACTTAACAACCGAAATGTCGGGCTTCTTTGTGGTCATTAGTCGAGGACTACCCATATCTCTTGGACTATGGACTTGACGGTTTAAGGGGCTGAATTAGGACCATAGGCACAGAAATTACAACACCCCTTCCACCATAAAAAGTCACATACAAAAGTCTTGACACCCTAGGTTAGTGTTAAACTTGAGTTGAGCTTTTATTATTTCTTCATCCTGTTTAGTTTGGCGGGATTTGAATTTTATGCATGGGCTAGGGAGACGGATCTGTCTACCACTATTATTAGTACCGGTATTAGTACCACTTTATACAGCCTCAGTTAAGGCCACTGAATCCCGCATCCAGTTTTGGTCACCAAAATACAAAAAAGATGTTGAACAAAAGTGCAGAAAAGAGCAACTAAGATAATTAAAGGCCTGGAGACTAAAACATACGAAGAACGGTTGCAGGATTTGGGTTTGGCTAGTCTAATGAAAAGAAGGACTGGGGGACAGGGGACGGACTCATTATAGCAGTGTTCCAGTATTTGAGGGGAAGCCACAAAGAAGGGTGGGGGGTCAACTTATTTTCCAAAGCACCAGAAGGCAGGACAAGGAACAATGGATAGAAACTAAACAAGAAGAGAAGCAACCTGGAAATTAGGAGAAACTTCCCAGCAGTGAGGGCAATTAACCAGTGGAACAGCTGGCCACCAGAAGTTGTGGGCGCTCCATCACTGGAAGCTTTTAAGAAGAGACTGGACAGCCACTTGCCTGGAATGGTATAGGGCAGTGGTGGCTAACCTTTTTGGGTTCCTGTGCCAAAAATTGTGTGCACTGATAGTGGAAATTTTGAGTAGTTTGGAGAACGGGCCAATACTACCTCTGACTGGCCC